CCCCCCCCCCCGGCCACACACACACCATTCATCTTATGTGAGAGCATTGATTTGAAAATCAGTCATGGAACTTACAACAGAGGAATTATTCCCCTCCTTTAGAACACTTCTCTCTGTTTCAGCTTGGTCCCCTTCTTTATTCAGAAGTCCTCCCAGTGAGGCCTTCCATGGCAACCCTAAAATTTCAGTTTATCCTCTACCCCCACCTCAGATACTTCATATCTCTCTTCCCTCCTTTATTTTTTTTCTCTTTAGCTCTTACCACTGTTTAATACACTCTACATTTTCCCTTGTTTTTTTGTCTCTCCTGCTAGTATGTAAGTTCTGTGAATGCACTGGCTCTTGTGTTTCCACAGCACTTAGAATATTGCTTGAAATATGGTAGTTGTTTTCTTTTAAATCGAGATATTTTACAGTCACATGCAGTTGCAGGAAATAATGCAGAGATTCTTCGTAAACTATATTATGTTGCCTAATGGCTGCTGTAACAAATTATTACAAACTTGGTGGCTTAAACAATAGAAGTTTATTCTCACTGCTCTGGAGTCTGGAAGTCAGAGATCAAGGCTTCAGCAGGACTGCGCTCCCTCTGGAAGGAGGAATTTGTGCCTTGCCTCTCACACCATCTGCTGGTCGCTGCAGCGGCATTTCTTGGCTTATGGTTGTATCATTTCTATCTCTGCCTTCATCTTTACATCACCTTCTCCTCTGTATGTCTCATCTGCCTCTGCTTCTCTCATGAGACACTTGTGGTGACATTTAGAGCCCACCCAGATAATCCCAGATTATTACCTCATCTCAAAATCCTTAAATTAATAACATCTGCACAGACTTTACCATATAAAATAACATTCAAAGGTTCCAGGGGTTCAAGCCTGATATCTTTGGTATATGTGCTGCCGAAGCGAGCACCAAGCCTGATATCTTTGGGAACTTCCATTTGTATCTGCCCTGGAGAAATGTCTGCTCAGACTCTTTTACATTTTTTTAATTGGGCTGGTTGTTTCTTGATTGTTGAGTTGTAAGAGTTGTGTATTGTCTTAGCTTTCCTGATAGTGTTTTTTGATCAGGTCTAATTTATCTGTATTTTTGTTGGTTGCTTGTGCTTTGGTGACATCTAAGAAAGCATTACCTAGTCAAAGGTCATGAAGATTTACACCTATATTTTCTTCTAGCTGAGTTATAGTTTTACCTTCTAAAGTCAAGTCTTTGATCCATTTTAATTAATTTTTGTATATGAAATGAGGTTGGATCCAAATTTATTCTTTTGCATGTGCATGTCTAGTCCCATTATCATTTGTGGAAAAGACTATATTTTCCCTATTGAATGTACCATTTTCTAAAATCAATTGACCATACATTTGAGTTTATTTCTGGACTCTCAGTTTTATTCCAGTATTCTAGACATCCATCCTTATGCCAATAACACAGTTTGGATTATTGTAGCTTTGTAGTAAGTTTTGAAATCAGAAAGTGTGAGTCCTCTTTGTTCTTCTTTTTCAAGATTGTTTAGGTATTTTCTGAGTCACTTGAATTTCCATATGAATTTTAGGATCAGTTTGTCAGTTTCTGCAAAAAAGACAGCTGGGACTTTGATAGAGATTGTATTGAATACATAGATCAATTTGGAGATTAACGCCATATTAACAACATTGTTTTCAGCCTATGAAAATGAATATCTTTCCATTTATTTAGGTCTTTAGTTTCTTTCAGTGATATTTTGTGGTTTTTAGTATGCGTCTTCTTAATTTTATTCCTAAGCAGTTTATTATTTTGGGTGTTATAAATGTTTTAATTTCATTTTTAAATTGTGTATTGCTGGTACATAAAAATACAACTAGTTTTTGTGTATTGACCTTATATTATGCAGCCTTACCAAACTTATTATCTGTAATTGTCATTTTGTGGTTTCATTAGGGTTTCCTATATACATAAGATCGTATCATCTGAATATAAAGGTAGTTTTACTTTTTTCTTTCAGATCTGGATGCCTTTTGTTTCCTTCTCTTGCCTAATTGCCTTTGCTAAAACCTCTAGTACAATGTTGAATAGAAGTCCCAAGAGCAGACATCTCTGTCTTGCTCCTAATTTTAGGGGAAAAGATTTTTTTCTTTCACAACTCTGATGTAAGCTATGGATTTTTGTAAAGTCTTTTGTCAGGTGGAGAAAGTGCCCTTCTATTCTGAATTTGTCAAGTGCCTTATGAAAATATGTTGAATTTTGTCAAATGCTTTTTCTGTATCAATTAAATTGATATTGTTTGTTTTTTCCTTTGTTCTATTAATATAGCATATTACATTAGTTGATTTTCATATGTTAAACCAACATTGCATATCTGGGATAAATCCCATTTGGTCATGATGTATAACCCTTTTTATGTGCTGCTGAATTTAGTTCGCTAATGGTTTTTGAGGATTTTTGCATTATATATTTATAAGAGACATTGGTCTGTAGTTTTCTTGTGATGTCTTTGTCTGGTTTTGATATTAGAGTAATACTGTCCTCATAGAATGGTTTAGGAAGTGTTTTCTCTTCCTCATTTTTGGGGGAAGAGTTTGTGGAGGATTTGTGTTCATTTTTCTTTAAACATTTGATAAAATTCACCAGTGAAGCCATATGGATTTGACTTTTATTTCTGGTAAGTTTTTTGATTACTAATTCAATCTCTTTATTTGATGTAGGTCTAACCAGATTATCTATTTCTTCAGTCAATTTAAATCCTCTTTTTTTTCTTTGTCAGTCCAGCTAATGCTTTGTCATTTTTGTTGACTTTATCAATAAACCAATTTTTGGCTTCATCTATTCCCTCCATTGTTTTTCTATTTCCTATTTCATTATTTATACTCTAATCTTTATTATTTTCTTTCTTCTTGCTAGCTTCAGGCTTAGTTTGCTTTTCTTTTTCTAGTATCTCAAGTGTTAAGTTAGATTATCCATTAAGTGTTTGTTTTCACAGCTATAAATTTCCCTCAGCACTGTCTTTACTGCATCCCACTAAGTTTTGGTTTGTTGTATTTTTGTTTTAATTTGTCTCAAAGTAGTTACTTTCCTTTGTGATTTCCTTCTGTGACCTTTAGTTATTTAGGCTTCTGCTGCTTAATTTCCACAAATTGTGAATTTCCCAAATTGTCTTCTCTTAATAGATTTCTAATTTTATTCTGTGTGGTCAGATAAAATACTTTGTATGTTTCAGCACTTTTATATTTATTGAGACATGTTTTATGGTGTAATATATAGTCATTCCTCGAGAGTGTTTCATGTGCACTTAAGAATATGTAGTTTGCTGTTATTGGATTTAGTGTTCTATAGATGTCTGTTAGGTCTAGTGGGTTATAGTGCTTGTTCAAGTCTTCTTTTTCCTTGCTGATCTTCTGTCTTTTTGGTGTCCATTATTGAAAGTTGGGTATTAAAATCAGTGTTATTATTGAATTATCTTCTTCTCTTTTCAGTTCTGTCAGTTTTTGCTTTGTGTATTTAGGGGCTCTTTTGTTAAATACTTGTATGTTTCTACTTTTTGTATCTTTTTGATGTATTGGCCCTTTTCTTGTTGTAAAATGTCCTTTGTGTCTAATAAGAATTTTTTGTTTCAAGTCTAATTTTTTTATCTTAGTATAACCATTCCAGCTCTCTTTTGGTTACTGTTTTCATGGCATATCTTTTTACATCCTTTTACTTTCAATTTATTTGTGTCTTTGACTCTAAAGTGAGTCTCTCATGAATAGTGTTCATATAGTTGAATCATATTTTTTGTCCATTTTGCCAATCTCTGCTTTTAATTGGAGATACTATCCCTGTATATGTGTCTATACAGGTAGATAAATTATGTGGTAAGGTATGTTTATATAATAAATATTTATTCACTGTGTGAATGTTTGTTGAATGAATGAACAAACAAAGGGACATTCTCATGTAGGTTCATATAGTTGAAAATGTTAAATAAAATATTACAGTATGAAATTTAACAATGCATATATGTATTTCAAATAATACATATAATCCCAAGTAGAAATGTGAGGGATGTGAGCGTATTTGAACATTAGAAAACCATGCAATGTGATTTATAGCATTTAGATTGATAGAAATAAACCATATGATCACAGCAATGATCAGGAAAAAAATCCTTATTTAAAATTTATTGCCCATTCAAGATTTTTAAAAATAGTAACAATAACCAAAAAAGGACTATAAACAACTAAGAGCAGAAATGAAATTTCTTGGCTTGACAAAAGATGCCTTAAAAAAAACACCACTACTAATACCAGTATTTCATGGAGAACTCTTAGAAGCTTTCCCTTTTAGGAATGAGTAAGGATGCCTGAAATCCTCTCTTATATTTAGCATAGTACTGGAGGAGCTAGATAGTATCATAGGAAAAGAAAAAGAATTTAAAGGTTTTTAAATCGGAAGAGAAACAGCAATACTTATCACTTGCTGTTTCTATGATCTACAAAGAAAGTCCAAGAGACGTTATAAACAAACTTCTTCACAGTTCTACATTTCTGTAGAGAACTTACATTATTAGTGTCATAAAGACAAATTTTAAGAGAAGGGATAGAATAGTCTTATTGTATCCAAAAGAAGATTCTTTTTAGTAAATGTATTTTAAATACTATGACTTTTTAATACTTTAAAAAATCAAGTTATATTTTTTTCCTCTAGGGCCACAGAGTCTTCTGATGAAGTGGAGAGCCTGCGACCCCCTCGGTTCTTTAATGAAGATGGAGTTATCAGACCTTACAGGTTGAGGGATGGTACTGGAAATCAAATGTTACAGGTGGGTAAAGAAGTATTTTATAAGTTAAGATTAATTTAGCTTTGTCAAAAGTAGCTATGTAATGCTTTAAATATATATGAGGTTATTTGGACTTCTATATGTTTTGCTTGATTCCATTTATAAGTTTCTTATATTTACTTAGGTTTTAATGTACATTTATTTACTATAAGATTTTTTTTTCTTTTTTACAGGCATCAAAAAGTTTGATATGAAAACAGTTAATGCATGACTTTGCAACTGAAAGCCAACAATAGATTTTAGTCTTAAAATTTACAAACTACATACAGCTGTTTCACTGTTTTGAATACAAAGAAAAGCTTTTGTATTGGTAACTTTTGTAGAGGATTTTTAGTGAATCTGATCTTTTTATAGGGTATTCTTAGTTCTCTGCTGGATTTGCTAGATTTATCGAAAGCCATTGTGCCTATATACCCTCATAGTTGATGGTACTTTTTAGCCAGTTAGACCATTTCTGTTTAGGGTACTTCCTTCTCTTTATCAAACCAATAGGTGCTTTTATATTGGATATAATTCTCACATCCAGTTAGACATGGATAAGGAAATAATCAGGACCATTGCTATTTGAACTTCTGGGTTCTTATGTTTTTCTTTTGAAGATGCTCAAGTTGCCAAAACCCTCTCTGCTTTCTGCTTGTGCAGTCCATTTAAAAACAAAATAAACTGATGAACAAAATAGACCCAGAGACATAGAAACATGGAACATACTGACAAATCTCAGAGGGAAGGCAGGGGTGGGTAGGTGGGAAGAGATTAACCAAAGAATTTATATGCATATATGCATAACCCATGGACACAGACAATAGTGTGGGGAAGGCCTTGGAAAGGGGT